AGTCGCACTGTCACACTGCGTGTCCAACAATTTATAAATCTCAAGACCTGGGCACATGCTAAATTTCAAACTTATCATTTGAGGCTGCCATACTGACAGGCCATCAGGCATTGCACCAGTTCTCCTATCCAAGAAACTTTCAGCAGCTACTGGAATTTTTGACCAGCATGGTACCTCATAAAGAAAAGAAATTAGAGGTTTTTAATAGCCATACTGCCAGGAAATGTTGCAGACAGAGGAAGAGAGACAATCACTTCCTGGATGGAAAAGCAGGGCTGTACTAATGCTGCACAAAGCCGGACAAAGCTCAGAACACCAGGACAATACACGTATTCCCATTACTAATTTACTACATGATTTTGCTACTGTTCTTGGCTCTTTTCAGGCTTCATATAGTTCAATGTAACTCTGTGCAGTCTAAGGATTTTTGACATCCATTCTACAAGTTCTGAAACCTTCTGACAGCCTTTCTCCCAAGAAACAAATTTTTAAAAAACTCTATTAACACTGTGTCTTTGTAGGTAATCCTGACAACTACATATTTTTAAGCAGCATCCACTAAACACTGAGAAAATACTTTCTAAAATTCTTCTTCCCCCCCCACTCAAAGAAAACGGGATTTAACATCATGCTGTTTCTCCAATCCCAGCTAATACTTTGCACTCTTACGACCAAATCTGACCAAAAAAAAGAAGTCTGAGAGATATGAAACACCTGTTAAAATCTGAGGCTGGGATAAGGACAAGCCCAAATGCTACACCCCACTAACAGAAAGCCAGAAAGGTCTCATCCATTACCCCACAACAGCTAGCTCCAGCAGTTGCATATGCTACCATCATGGGAATAGCATGGAAGACTTCAAAATCCCACAGCAGGGAGCGTCATGGACCATACAGGAAACACAAGGCTTGTCCAGTGAAAAGGTAGAGGATACAGAACAAAAACCTATACGAAACTACGCTTGTTTAGTTCTGCTTTTCATGTGATGATTTATTGAAATACAACAGCTACAAGTCTTTCCATGTTGTTTATGCCCTATTGCTGTTTCCCCCAAAACAGTTTAGATCTCACAAATTCGGAATGATTTCCTTGCAAAAGTTTTCTCCTGTTAGTTTTTGCTGTAGCTTGAACTTCTTACTTGGAGATCTAAAAGCTAGCCTATTGTTCCTCTATATCTCAACTGTTCGTACAAATTATTCATTACACAGCACCACGTACCCTTTATTTTCTTTCTTATCTGCACTGCAATTAGCTTGTATATAATGAAGTACCGTAACAGCGGATCAGAGTAAACAATATGAACAAAAGAACTGAGAACACAATCCAGCTTTCATGAAGATATACTTACACAAAATACCAAGAGCAGTAGACAGTACTGTAATTTCCAAATTCAACATTTTGTAGTTTTCAAAAAAACATCCACAAGCCTTCAAAAATCACATATCCAGAAAAGGATGTTGGAAGATGTCCACACATATCATTCCTCATGTATTTATTAAAAAGACAGCAGAATGAGACTCTAAACTGTACTGCATTTCTGTCCTGGGAGCTAATAACATGGGATGGTTCCCAATTTATTGCAAATCTCCTTGAAAACGTCTGCTTCATTTCCCTAATAAGAATTTTTGAAACAACAGTTTGGCACAAAATGGTACGAGTTATCCCAATAAATCAATGTGTTAAGTTTACTAAAAAAGACAATTTATCATAGAATGTAAATCTGACAACTGTTACAAAGCGAGACTCCTGCCTCCCTAATGCAGCTATATGGACAGATTAGACTTTATCACTCCATCTTATAAGCGGGCAGTGTACAATGCTGCACACGCAGAAAATTCTGCATTATAGTCAAGGCAGGCCATAGTGCGTAGCTGTCAATTCACCTGGTATGCTGTCACTACACAATTCCACCACAAGATGACGCAGAAGAAAGCTCCTCTGTCCAAGTTGTTCTTGCTTTCATCACATGATGACCTAAGCATATTTCAAACTGACAAGTCTTAGGAAATTAATTTAATTTTAAAAGCATAAATAGCACAAAGCAATCAAACTGCGTGAATTTATAATGTACAGTTCATGCATTTTACTGTGTGCACTGCTGTAAAACAAATTTGGATTACGTTAAATCTGCACCAAATTAATGCAAGTAACTAAATTACCAGAAAAACTGTAAACAAAATTCACTGTAGAGCAGAAGAGAAAAGATCACAAACCCTAAGGTATTTATCGAAAAAAAGAATGACAGTCTGTTTTACTGACAGTGTAGCACCATCTGACCGACATGCTTTTGCTAACTACATTTTTGTTAGCGCGGCAAACCCAGTATTATTGTAGTGGCAGAAGGAGGAGAAGGAGGTTGAAGCATCTCATTCAGATGCAGAACCTGAAAATCACTATCTAAAATACTAACTCTCGTTGGCAGCTCTCCACTGCCATCTGCAATGTAAGGGGAAGAGGGAACGATACAGAGAGTTGAGACAACAGAACAGTCCATGCAGGCTTTAATTGGAAATAATCAACAAGTGATAAAGGTTTTTATGAATGAGAGACAGGGGATTCAGTGAAGCATTCTATCACTGTGAAACTGTAGTGTTTCTAATGCCAAGTTAAACACATACACCCCTAACTATTTTGAGTCATATAGGCCACAGACTGCTAAAAGAACAAAAAGCCCTTAGTGTTTTATTGGCAAGATGCATTTCATAATGTGCAACTTCATACCAACACTAACAAATATTTGGGGCAGAAAATCTTACAGTCTTCAAGACTTCTATCTAAATTATGTTCAGGCTGAGAAGCCGTCATCATAAATTTTTACACCCAAAACAAAAGATTAAACACCAAGCTCACCATTAACACACAGGACAGATTTCCGATGGTTACAGAGATTTAAAACAAAACACAACACACTAACCTCACATCTGACCAATCCCATAAGAAACTCAAAATAGTACAATTTAGAGGAAAGCATTAACTGAACGTGAATTAATAGATTCACAAAGGGGCCATGTATTTCTGAAAATATTTTTGAAGTCTTTTGTGCACAAACCACAATAAGAAGTTCAGCTTATGCACAAGAACTTGAAGATCTCTAATATAACGACAAAAAAAATTAGTAACAGGCTTAAAGAAGGTTCCTTGAGAAATAATTATTGATAAAGAGCATTTAGCAAAAACACTGGTGTAATATTCTAGTTACTTGCTCTATGATCGAAATAGTTATTCCATGTACTTTATTTCTTTGAATATAGAACAGCCATAATTGACCTTTTCAATGTATGACTAGGAAGCCTTCAAAAGCACAGGTAAATGTAGACACAGCACCTATTTTAAAGAAAAATTCAATTAAAAAAGGGAAATGGAAGATGTCCAATGGTTAGGATGTTCATCACCAGCACCAGAACAAAGACCAATAAAGGAATTCTGAACTGGTGCCCAAACATTGTATTTGGACATCTAAAAAGGAAAGATGTTTTGGAAAAGCTTGAGGACATCAACTGTTCCTAACTGGACAGGTGACTGTTACAGCAAAAGGAGCAGAAAGTACTCAAATTTACACTGAAAATAAAAAGGACATATGAACTTTTAAAACAGAGATCAAAAAACCACATTGGGTTCTGTATAATTTTAGATTTTTAAATACAAATAAGGAATTTTTTAAAAAGATCAGACTACATTCATCAGAAGTAATCACACTCAATGAACAACTGTGAGGTGGCAGACCGCATTATGCAACAGGTACAGCTACGTGAGCAGAGTGTATCCCTCTTACGTAAAAATCTTCAACCCTGAACACTTATGGTAGTAAGGTTAGATTCCATCCTGTTTCATAAATGCATGAACTGAAAGATATCATAATAAAATGCGCTTACAACTTTGAGATAAATTTTTAACTTAAAATACCTATTATAAAAATAGCAATATTGAAAGTAAAAAACAAACCAGCAGGGAGCAAGTAGTGGCCTAGTAGAAAAAGGGTAATATTTGTAGTGTTTTTTCTTTTTTCTCCTTACCTCACCTGGATGAGTCCCACAACATAAAGCAAGGAACTAATTTTTTTCTATAGAGGTCTAGAGTAGTGCACCTGAAACACTGCACTGAGTATAACATACCAAAATATATTCAAAGTAATTTTCAAATATTGAGAAAGTTCAGCGAGAGTGATGAAAAAGATCAGAAGATGGAAAAACAGACTGACAAAAGATGAATTAAGTTAGTGTAGCTTGACTAGAATGGTATGACATGTGAAAGTTGCCTATACACCTTTGTAATGGAGAATTAAAAGTAATTATTTAGAGAAATATTAAGTTTTTTCTATCTATAAATATATGAATGAGGAGGAAGAAGTTGTTAGACAAAAGAGTCTTTTGATAAGCATATTTCTCTGGCTGGAATCCTCTCCATGGTAAAATGACAGGCACATCAGGATTTAGGTATTTAAAACCGTATTGGGCAATTCATACATAAAGGTACTGTAGGTCAAACCTGCTCTTTCATCAAAGTGTATTAGATTATTTAACAGATTTTCCATCTCCAGCTTCTAAACCCAAAATAAGCACAGATACTATTCTAGCAAGAGTCTTTACAAAACAAGCACATAAAACAAACTCCATTGTAGTTCTGGTGAATAAAAGTAAAATGAGAAGCAATTAGAACAATGATGAACTCATTAACTCAAAACAGCCACATAAATAAAAGTAAAGCAAGTCTAAAAAACCTGTCTAAAATAGCTGATGAGACTTTTCCAGAGGATGGATGAATCAGTCTGGTTTAAGTCAAAATGAAGTGTGGAAATAGTTGCAAATTGTCCATGGACCACTGTCTCATTCTAAGTAACATCATGAAACTGGTACAAAAATTACCTTCAAGATAAATTAATTCTACATCCATAAACAGCATACCAAGCTCTTGACAGCTATACAGAAAGCTGCAGAGCTTGATGCCAAAGAAATGGATTTACGTTATTTTAAAAAGCACATTGATGAGTAATCTTTTCTTACCATCGTACTTTATTGCACGTCTGTGTAGCGCCAAGAGGAGAACCTGCCACCATGGGGACTTGGATGGGGCTATGCTGTTTGTTCATGACGAGATCCAACTTCTCTTCCAATGATTTACAGGTAGCCTCTAGTGCCAGCAACTTTGCCTCGATGCTATCCAACCGCAGGCATATTGTCTGATTAATGGAATACAGGAATGACTAGAAAGGGGAGAATGCAAAAGAAACTGATTTTAAAGACCTACGCATTTATCTTCAGCAACATACACATAAGGAAGGTCCAGATAAATGTGACTGGAAAACAATTCTAAAGGAACTACCAGTGTGCCTAGTCACAGAACTCAGCCACATACAGAACTGATGACATCCAGGAGCATTTTAGCATTCTCAAATTCTTCCAGATCTTTATTTAGAAGCCAAAAGCATCCGAGCCAAACACATTTTCACCTAAGCACTTTGTTAGTATGATTTCATACACCACAAAATCATTTAAAATGACATGCCAAAGCCTTTCATTTGATACATGTAAAAACAAAAGGATTACAAATTTATGAACGCATCCTCCTGGATGAAGTTAAGTAAGATTTTTTCCTGCCCAAACAGATAATTCAGATGATTACAGTGGGAATTATATCAACACAAATAACCTCAGAGACAATTAACGCTGCTTACTTAAGTTTTCTCCTGAGCAGCAAATCAAGAAAAACAAATAAATAAAATCTGTTTTCCTAAGCAATTTTATTCAAAAGAAAGCATATTCTACTTGCCTTCTCTTGGGAAAAATAGGCCATTAAAGGGTAATATTACACACATTCTCCTTTGCAAACAGCAACTATGCCATCTTGTGGCCCTCCATTACAATTTACACACCTAATCAAGCTGGCTTACAGCGCTCCTCCCCCAGTGCTCTTCCAATACAGAGCTTCCGTTTCTATGACCGTTTCAAAAATACAAAATTACATACTATTTAACGTGTTCGGCAGTAAAATACTACTCATATACTTATGCTCCAAGACAAAAAAAAACCAAAACCTGAAGCACACTAGTGAGAACAGCAGGGGAAGTTCTGCAAGTACAGAAAAGCCTGAGCCTGAACCAAATACAGTTTGACTATTAGGAAATATTGTTAGCTTAAAATAATAATTTAAAACATGCTGAAAGTATCAACAAATTGTAATACAAATACATGCTCAAGTTTATCTTTTAGGTCAACTTTATTCACTTTATCAAAAAATGTACTAATAGTGATGTTTGAGTGACTGGAATTAATTCTGATGACATTTCATAATGCATATAAAATTCTTGCTACTGATTTTACACTGGAAAATTAGCCAATCAACCAGATTTTAAAATTTATGCACAAAAATGAACACACAGTTACAAGAAGGCTAAGAATAATTCCGGTATTATGTATAAACAGTTTATTTTACATTCTTTTCTTTTAGTATGTTTCCCTAAGAAAGCTAACTTAATTGGTATTACAAATAAAAACAGAAAAAGGCATTATCATAACCTTAATAGAGGGATCCTGGCAGTTAATTTCTATACGCTGACGTTTCAGAGCAGGCTCTACATCATCATCTGTCACTTCATGATTCTCCAACACAACTGCAAAGAAAAAATAAGCATTGCCACGGTTTAGAATATAAGAGGACAAGGCTCAAATTAAAAATACATTAAATGGATAAAACAAAAAAATGTAAAAGGCATTTAATTAACATCTGTATTCTTTTACACTTACTGGGAGTTTCTCTTAAATACATGACAACGGTTTACTGCTTCTCAAAAAACATTTATCCATATCCAAGTCTTTGTTGCAAATGCACTGAGGATGTAACACTCATGCATTACCTTGGATTTTTTTTATTAGGAACTTACCATGAGGTAGCAGAGTTGCCACATTAGCTGCTCTGCTTTGACAGATTCTACAGGCTTCTGAACCCTCATGTTTATACAAAACCATAAAAAGTACTAATGAAGTTCTGTACAAAGACAGAATTACACCCACTACTCGGTGCAGTAGCGGGTTACTTTTCCCCAGTATAGATGAACAAAATCCTGCAAGCTTTCCAAAATAATTACTTAGATATGCAGACCTAGAGGTTCTAATAGCCTTTCATCTAAAGGCAAACATTTTGAAGAAATCAGTAACAAAAAAAAGAAAAACTGAATTTAGAACTGGAAGGCCTGGCTGGTAAAATCAAGAGATAGAGCCCTGAACAGCCTCAGGGTCAGAGCATCACCCAAGATTGGACAAGGTTCAAGTTCCTTTACCAAACTAAGCAAAGCAAGACTTGCTTAAGGTTGACCATACCACCCACAGCTGACAAAACTAAACACCAAGTTCCCAGCCAGCCTAGGACAGGCAGGTGCCAGCTTCTCCAACTCTTTGGGAACATTTCTGAAGTAACTGTTTTGTTTTGCATCAGAAAAAAGTTTTTTGATATGCGTTTCTGTTTTCCATAACAGTAGTTACTGTTCTTTCAGTCACTTACTCGCATGTAAAGGCAGCATAGGATCTATGACTATAGCTGATCTCAACACGTTTTCACTTAGTAGGTCAAGTTCTAAGCAAGGGATATCACAATATTTGCTTTCAGAAGTGGTTTTCATTTTTACTGTAATTTTGTTATACATACGAAGAATTTTAATAATGTATGAGAAACTATTTTACAAGTAAAACAACAATTCATAATAGATGGGTGATAGCTCTCATTTGAGGGAAAGCCTAAAACATCTATTTGGTCTGAAGAAAAACAAAAGATTGCAGGAGGCCATATTTCATTCAAAGTTTTCAGCACTAGTCTACCCCTGCACAAAAAAATCCCCAGGCAATAAAGCCTTTAAAAGAAAAGTAGAATAAAAAAAAAAAATCTGATCTAAAGGATATTGAAGATATACAAGTTAAGCTACTGAAAACCTGGTATGTAGTCTTAAGAGGCACCTCAGGAAAAAAAAAAAAAATCAGCAGCACTGCTTTATATTTTTAAGAAAAGCTCAACAGTGATTTCCACCTTGTTAATGGGCAATACTATAAATGATCTCTCTCACGCCATCACCACCACCTCTACTGTACCTGGGTTATCTGGAGTCAAGTCTTCAACAGCAATCTGAACAACATCTGCCAAATCCTGTTCTGACATCATTCAGAACCAGGCAGCAATATCCAGTCAAACACTACTTCAGGTCCCCAAATAAGTAATTTTACAAGTCATGCAATCCTGAAAAACAGCAAGAAGAGTGTTAATACAGATATACTTGATATATCAATACTACCTTTGTTTTTTCATTCTTCCTCTATAAAAGGAGATGCAGTTCCTAAAAGAAATGACCGACTTCCAGCGATCATCCAGTGGGTATTAACTGCTACTTTATTCAGTAGCCTCATCAAAGAGCAAAGGACTAAACTACCTGCATCACCTCTATGAGTAAATCTTTCTATACTAGGACTGAGACAAGAGGTCAAGCTTTCCTTGCTGATCCACCTTTCTGCATTTTCCAAATGGATAAAGAGAACATTTAGCTTCAGAGATTTGGTAGCTCGCCAGTATAAAATACAAAATAAAATGTTTTCTTTTAAATTGATTTTTTGTTTTAGAAGTTTTAAGAGCATACAAGACCACTCCTAAATTGCAGGGTTTTAATTTACAAATTATTACTTAGCTCTTGGAAGTGATCAGACTTTAGTATTTAGTCTTGATGTCGCAAAAGCATATGAAGCTCCCAAGCCACATTAGATTTGCAGTTACTGCATTCTGTACAGATCTACATGCACACAAGACACTTACATGTATGAATCTTAACAGGCCTCCAAAATCTTCATAAACATTCAGTGAGAACAAGGGAGCTTCCTCACAGCTAATTACTACTACACTTGAAGCAAAACTTCACCTTTTTTCTTGAACTTGCCTGGTTTTTCTACAGCTCAATTCTGATGGGCCTATTTTCAGAATATGGTCCTGATTGTAAAGCCAAAATGTTTCTCAGCCCTGCTCCCTTGGAATTCTCTGTCAAGATTATTTATTAGTGTTTTAAGAGAAACCTTCAGCCTGTAAAATTTAATTAAAATCACTGGAACCATTCGTATCTGTGCTTTCCCTCGGTTTACAAAGAGATGGACAATGAATACCAAGAGATCAGCCGATTTTTTCCTTTATAACCTGAAGCAAAAAACACTAGAGAGATTTGAGGTTTACCAATAGAAATGGTAATTCATCCCTTAACACTAACACTAAATCAAATCCAATGATGCATAAAGATTTTCCTCTTTCCCTCTTCCACTTGAGCACAAGAAAGCCATTAAGCCAGACAGGTAGAGTAAAAATTTTTGAAGAGAGCGACACAACCTACAGAAGAATTCTGAGACTGGCCTGAGCAACCACTGCACACTGTGAAAGCCCATCTCCAAAGGAGGACTCCCCGCATATCAGAATTGTTTACTCAAAATACCAGCACTGCCAATACTGAGTCATTTGAAATTCTGATCATGGCGAAAAACTGTTGGGACAGCACAGACTGTGGCAGCACGCCCAAAAAACCTGGCAATACATTAGTGCATACGGATGCCATTTTGGCAAATTGTATTTGCCATTTCTGAGAAATCCTGGTAACCAGCCAGGCTTAACATAATAAACCAGCTGTGCTACAGTTACTGTTTCATAATGTTACATACTGCTAGTAATATTAAGAACCCTGCCCTCAACCTGAAGGAAGACATCCGCCACTCCAAACACGAAAAAAGAACAAACTAGAACAAACCCAACTTTTAAAACTATTTACACAATTCAAGATTTCACTGATAATTCACGTGTTGCATTTAAACCAGTTACAGCTACAAATACATCAATGTTTTATAAAACATTCCAAAGGATTTGCAATGCTTTTGTTTAAATCCACTTTAATACTTCATGTGATGCACGTATTTAGCCTTCCAAAATTCATTATTTAAAAAAAAAAAAAAAAAAAATCACTGAAATTAAACCTTTCTTCAACACAAACAAAAAATAATTTCACACTTCTGACATCTGGTCTCCACCTCTCATGGGTCATAGTCTGAAAGTATTCAACCTCACATCAGAAAAGTACCACCAAAATATTCTGTCACGGAGTCTTCAAACAAGGGCACAACAACCAAACTGTGATCGGCAGAACAACTACTACACGTACACAGCAATGTGTCTTCATAATATTTGTATTTATTTCCATTTAAACAAATTTTATGACAATTTCAGTAAGTCAGAAACAGCTCATAGGCAATTAGCCAACACTCTGACAGAACACATTTTTGCCTTCTCAACAGGCAGAACAAAATATACTTCTGCTGTCACCAGACGCAGTGAGCTCCTGTATCAAAACATAAGGGGAAAACAAATAAATTTGTTATTGACACTAGATGTGTGGATTAGGAAAGCAATGCCCAAGTAAGCTACATTGGGTACTACAACCACAGCAGCTATCACAACTTGATTAAAATGCCTATAAAATTTATTATAAAATTTAACAGCATTAGAGTTAGATTAATTTATCAGCTTTAAAAAGCCTCAGTCAACAAATTCAGAATAACTTCACCAATGTAGTTTCCACATATTTTACTCAGTGAAGTATTTACCAGCATTTCCTCAAGAAAAACACTTCTTTTCTTGATGTTTGCTATACATTCACAGCCTTCTTTTTCTCCTTTCTTTCTTCTGGCTGAAACCCTAGTCCCCATTAAATCTAAATTAAGTATATGTACATTGGCATTAAGAAGGCAAAGCTGAAATATTACCTGGAACAAATACTAAGCTATAAGAAAGAAATATTAACAGGAAGCTGAGGATAAACTACATCAGGGACATAAAATGTGCCCACTTTTACTCCCCCAACCAGCATGTGGAAGTTTGATCAACAGAGTAATATTTTATAGTCAATTTGCCATTATCTGGGGGAGAGATATGGGAAGACAGCTTATACCAGACAATGGAAAATATCTCATTAACACATACACTACAGGAGGCCTTGGCCAGCCAAACTCAAACTGACTCCAGCTGAGCCATTTATTTAGGTGGATCTATGCTGCACTCCTCACTTCTCCCAGAGGGCTTTTTGGAGGGTTGGAAAAGACTGCTTCAACTCTTACCCAATGCAAAGACTGAAAAACAGGTTACGGTGTGTATCAGAGGAATTTCCTCCCAGCTCCATTCCCACTTCAGCCCTGGGTGCCTTCAAATCTCAGTTACCTCAAGCATTTCTAACCCTTCAGACCTCTTGCACCATGTAACCCATTCCCAGATCAGCTCTTTTACTGTCCACCCTTTCCCCACCCCAGGCCAGACCCTACTTTGGCAACCCTTGCCTAGGAAACCCACCAGAAACCCATTCCTGTTTTATAAAGTAGCACACACTAAAAATTGTCTCACTTTTTAATCACAGTGAATAATGGAAATAATCACACATAGCAAACATACTGCATTAGTTCCCTCTTACCTCCTAAAGGAAAAATATGATTTCAAAATTTGAGAAAACAGTCCTAAGATTGATTCCAAGACAGAACAAGCATCAATACGGAGTAACAGAACTAAATCTTCTAATAATGAATACAGTCTATTTCATCACCCATCAAAACTTAAAGATATTAATTTCCCTATTACGTATTATGAGTTGAAAGTAGACGAACACTCCTCCCCATTCTTGGCTTCTCATATTCAGAAACAAAGCCAAAAAGGGGAGCAAAAAGCCTAGAGCATTCCTACAACCACTTACTGGGAGGTGGTTCTAGTACTGGAACACTCTGAAAAACTAATCAGAGACAACTGAAAGTATAAATTTAAAGCAGATTAGATAAAGTGCACTAAATATCTCTGCCAATACTGCTACTCAGAATCGATACATTTAGCACAGAATTAAGGTAGCCTTTGTTTAATTAAGGAAATTAATATTTGTAAGCAACTAAATTAAATTCACCTGAATTCCAGATTAGCTTTTCCACACACAAGTTTAATGCAATTTAATTAATCTATTTTAAAACATTAATTCAGAATAATTCTTTTGAGCAGTCCCTAGTAAACAAACCTTTTACTGAAATATCTGATGGCTTTACAAAGTCTCAGGGCATCATTCCAAAGTGTATAATCAAAAACATCCAATGTCTTGTTAACATATAAAAACATGCACAAAACATAAACCTTCTCTCTCATACTAATTAGCAAGGGTAAACACTATATTTAAAAAAAAAATTCCAAAGCTCTAGTCTACATAGAGTGTTTAATTGAACTTCTCTTATTTGAGCAGCTAATCACTCCCCCGACTAATATTTCTCAGTGCTATTGATAAATGAAAAAAAACTTACCTCATACTTCAACTTGCACTATGACAAAAATTTACTTCTGATTGTGTAAAAAAACCTGAAGGGTGCCATTTTACTTTGACCAACCCAAAGGCCCCAAATGTTTTTCTTCTCCTTCATTTCACTTTCCTTTAAATCAATTAAGGCCATTTTTCGAATATGTCATTCCAGTTTGAAATACATATTCTTCTTTATACAACCACTATTAGCCAATCTGCCCATTTTTCTGAGCCTAATATCTACCATGAATGGCACAAACAAAGGTCCTTATCTTGCAAAGAGCTATGATTTGCTGACACTTACAAAAGTTTTCTGAAACAGCAAACCAGCTAGACTACAAAGGCAAGCCTAATGATAAGAATGTATCTGATACATGCATGCAAGTGCATTAATCCTCTGTGAGGACAACTTTGTGCAGAAGTAAAATGACCTTATGCTGTAAAAGGATTATAGTATAAAGATCATCCACCCTCTGAAAGTGAAGATCCATAGAGAACATAATACTCATTAACTCTACTGCTTTAGTTAAGTCAGTTCAACTTCCCTGAGTTCTTGTCCCTTCAGGGAAACAGCCCACAAGGACCACTGAGCTTTAAGTCTCTGTGCAAAGAATAATCCACACCAAGAATGCCTTTGTGCAGCTCAGTTAAATCCACTCTGGAAGCAAATTATGCAAAACCAGCAAAAAGGCACTCCAAGTACCAAATAAGATTTTTCACATGATAGTCTTAATGACGAAAAACCAGCATGCTCAGGTTATAACCCTGGCTAACCTGGCAACAGATCTCCTGCATTGACAAGACTGTCCTATGAGTAGTCCCATGGAAAGAACTGGGAAATGTTCACGTAATGTGATACATGAAGTTGTTCACGGGTATTACAAGGCTCAGAACCTGA